TGCTGGTCAGAGTTGGCAATACTGGGCTAGATGGCCAACTGTATGCCTCAGCATAAGACACCTTCCTTCATTTCCTGTTCATGTCAGTGAAAAGACAAGCAGAAAAGGAAGAGGAGAAGTGTTGCAAAGCTTGCTTGTCAAGCACATGTCTGAATTGGCGGGGTCATCACAGAGAGATCAGCGTGGGTCAATGTGGTGGTGCTGCGGGTTAAACCACAGAAGCCTCTGTGCTGCAGGGTCAGAAGACCAGCCGTCATAAGATCGAATCCACGCGATGAGTGAGCTCCTGTCACTTGTCCCAGCTCCTGCCAACCAAGCAGTTTGAAAGCATGCAAATGCAAGTAGATAAATAGGTACCACCACAGCGGGAAGGTCATAGTGTTCCATGTCTAGTCACGCTGGCCACGTGACCACGGAAACTGTCTTCGGACAAACGCTGGCTCTACGGCTTGGAAACGGAGATGAGCACCGTGCCCTAGAGTCAGACATGACTGGACTAACTGTCAAGGGGAACCTTTACCTTTACCTTACAGAGATATGACATGACCAAGTTGCAGGTGATATAGGAAAGACCTCTCTCTGCCTGACACCTTGGAGAACCACTGCTAGTTGGAATGACCTATACTAGGTCTGGTCTGGTGGCCAAACAGACTGACCTCATGTAGCACAGCTGACTGTGTGGCTGTGTGGAGCCACGGTGATGCACAGATCTCCAGCCACTGAATACTCCCACTGACATTTGAAACCGACGACTAGAAACTGAGCCTTCTTGGCAGTTGCCCCGTAATTGTAGAATCTGGGGTAATTCTACAATTACCCCAAATTTGCCTGACACCCTAACTGCGAATTTTCAAAAGATCATTGAAAACAGGGTCCCTTAGGCAGGCCTTCCTGGATTCTAGAACATCCTGATCCAGTAGCGTTTTAACAACTATATACAGTCGTGCCCCGCTGGACAATTAACCTGCTCTACGACAAATCCGCTACCCCACTCTATGACAAATCCGCTTTACGTCGAAATTTTTGCGATCGCTTTTGCAAGCTCAAAACTATGTTTTAAATGGTTTTTTTCCCGCTGTGCGGTGATTAGTTCCCTGCTTCAGGAACTGATTTTCGCTTTATGACGATCAGCAAACAGCTGATCGTCGGGTTTTAAAATGGCTGTCGGCTGAAGAATATGCCCCCCCGTTGTTTTCTAGGACGGATTCCTCGCTTTACAGGTACTGAAAATGGCTGCCATATGGAGGATCTTCACTGGACGAGCAGGTATTCAGCCCATTGGAACGCACTGAACGGTTTTTGATGCGTTTCAATCGGTTTTTTTATTTCGTTTGACGACGTTTTCGCTCTACAGCGATTTCTCTGGAATGAATTAACGTCGTCAAGCGAGGCACCACTGTATTCAACCCTCTACCATGCCTTTATTATTTTAATGTTTTTTTATTGACATCATTTCTTCTTTTGGTCTAAATTATAATTGATTGTTTCTGTCTTTTTGTTTTGTTTTGTATTGTATTGTTGTAATCTGTAAACTGCCCAGAGTGGCCTGGGATATGTAGCCGGACGGGCGATATATAAAACTCTAACAAACAAACAAACAAATTTGATGGCAAACTGCTTCCAGGTAGGAATGGAGAAAAATGTTGCTTTGACTGCCTTGCAGAAAGTAATCTTTTCACACTTTTAAAGATTTGTCATGAGAAGAAAAGCACCATGCACTGATAATCTGCATATAGACAAGTCTACCAAACCCTTTGGAGAGGTCGTGCACTATCAAACTATGTGCATACTTCGGAACAAGATTGACTTAAAATGTGTGCAATTAAAAGAACTGCACACAAACACGGTTTAAAAGATGGGGGGAAATGACACATTAGGTAAAATGCACAAAAATCTGCATATTAGGGAAAAATGCCATAAATACAGTATTTTTCGCTCCATAAGACGCACCTTTCCATAAGACACACCAATTTTTTAGGAGAAGAAAACAGGAAAATATAATCTGTTTTCTTCACTCCAGACTTTCCACCCCCGTTTTGTGGGGGGAAAGTGTGTCTTATGGTGCGAAAAATACTTTATGTTCATGCATTTTCTTATGGTGCAAAAAATACGGTATGTTCATGCATTCCCATGCAAAAGGAAAAGACAAAAGAAAAAACCCGACAAAGTCTTCCAACCTGATACAAAATTGGGACAGGAAGGAACTGCAGGTGGGATTTGAAGAAGCACCATGAAATCGGGACTAATTTTCACCACCGTTAACAGAATGCTCCTTGGTACTACCAACCTATAAAGAATTACTGCCACTATCTTTTTTCTTCCAGATTTAACTTTAGCATGTAAGGAAAGGGGCAAAAAGGTGGAAAAACCAGTAGGAAAACATGGGAACTTTACTAGTGGAAGACCACCTGCATGTACTATAAATGCCACTGAACAACTAACTTTGTGTACAAGTGCTACCGCATTGTTTTAACACCTCTGCAGTCTTTGCCCTGCAAGAGCACAGTGGCACAGGAGTTGCCTTTATAACCCTAGTTTTCCCTAGCCCCACAAGAGAGAATGGGGAGAGAAAATGTGGTCAGCTGCAGTATGGTTGGCATATCAATGGCATGATCTTTCAAACTGGACATGGAAGGATGGAATAGCAACAGGAGGCCAAGTGGCTATGGAATAGGTTCAGGTACCATCTGAAATTCAGTAATATCATCCTTTATATCAGTCTACAAAGTAGCTGCACCACCTGCGTGAGAGTTAATCAGACAACAAAACCCCTTGTGAGGATACCCACAACAGCTGCCCTGTCGTACCCAGAGCTTCTGCTATTAGTGTTTCAAATCCACCCCTGCCACGTGCAATGATCAGCCAGCCAGCCAGCCATAATGATCAATAGTAACTGGCCAGGAAACAAACGGCTTCTGTCTGTGTTCATTGAGCGCAGCCACCCATGCCCCATGCCATTCCAGTCAATCCCAGCAATTATGCCCCCATCCCAGCTGTTTATTGAGCTATACTTAAACAAGGACAATAAAACATTGTGAAGCCGTGTTAGAAGTGGAGGTGGCGACCTGCAAGCCAGACAACTTTTACCTATCCCTTTCTGCTTCGAAGAACTTGGAAAACCTCTCGCTAGGGCGTTTCCGGAGGGGAAGCTGTGTTAAGTCAGTGGTCTGTTCTGGCAAAACCATGAAAAAGAATCTCAAGGTACTCAAAAGACTAACAGGTTTCTCTGGCATAAGTTTTGGTGGACTGCAGTCCACTTTTCCAGACACATGCAGTACAGCCTTGCAGATGGAAGCTATGTTCCATGCATCCATGAATTTCATTGTATGGGTATACCATGTATTATACTTACAACGACAATAAATTTATTTGATATCCACCTACTGGGGTTGGACTCTACACGTTACTGACATTAAAGAGTTAGCTGGGGTGTCTCCACTACCCCCCACCAAAGAAGTGATACCTTATTTTTTTTTCCAAGATACCATTGAAAGTCTTTGTTAATCCAGACCAGGGAAAAACAATGTCGGTGAGGGGGAGAGGTGCCTTGCCCCCCAATGCGTATTACCTTCATCCCCCTGAAAACAACACAGCCAAATTTGTGGTACCTCTAACAGCTCAATGTTTCCTTTGAAACAGCATGTACCCATGTACATGCCGTGTCATTAAATCACATGCTAACAGCTCAATGTTTCCTTTGAAACAGCGTGTACCCATACATGGCATGGCATTAAATCACATACAGTCCCGTTGATTCCGATCTTCCAAACCTTTTCATTATGGTCGACAGTTCTACTTCTAGTGGCCCCCACTGGGACCGTGCAGCTAGCCCCAGGCCCTCCCAGGAGATTAGCGGGGATCCCAACTGCAGGCTCCTGGCTTCTCCGCCAAATACTTCAGCCACTTTATCTGTTAATAGCGATGCCTTGGTTACCGGCATAACAGTATTTCTGGGCGAATGAACCCACTTGTAAACAAAGCACTCACAGGTGCCCACTTCATTTCAAAGAGAGGGAGAGAAACAAAAGCCAATGCTCAACATTGCTTTTTTTTCCCATGTATTTTTTCTCACTCAGGGAAGTAGAGGACTTAGAGGGTCAAAAAACGTGGACACAAAACTACTTGAAGCTGACCTATATTGCCCACCGATTGCATCCTGGGACGGTGTCGCTGGCCCAAGGCTACCCAGGCCGGCTCTTCTCTCAAGAGAACATGGGGAACCGAACCCCCAACCTCTAGCTCTGTAACCAGATAACTAAAAACCATTCAGCTATGCAGCCAGCAGCAAGGGATAAAGAGGAAGCAAAACAGCAGGGCTAGTCCTTACGTATAAGCAAAAACATGACATCCACACTCTCTGATTTTCTGCATTCTTTCCTGCCAGCATTCTTGACCCTCCTTCTATCCCCCTTATGTTTCCATTCTTCTGTGACCTTGCTTTACCCGTTACCCAGTTCAAAGGCATACATTCAAATTCAGTGAAAATAAAGAGAAACCTGTCCATCTGCCGGTGCCTTTGTCCTCATAGCATGCTTCTGAAGCAAATTAAGAGGGAGAAAGTTCCTAGTCCTCAGGGCTCCCAGAGGTCAAGAGGTCAGCCCCTCCCATCCACGTTTCAATCAGCCCTCCAAAGCAACAGCAGATCCTCTGGGCTAACGCTGAGAGGAACACAGTGCCTCGGGGAAAACCAAATGCTTGCTAAAGGGAGCATTTTAAAATAGAATCACTACACAGTATCTGTAAAATTATATCGGTCCATTGTAACCATGAAACGCTTATGTCAACAAACACAAACGTCGCCCCCCCCGGCTTCTCCCTCCTCCCCCATTTATGCGTTTATTTTTCTAAAATTAATTGGGTGAGAATGGAACGTGGGAGACAGCTCAAGCACAGTCAGAACTTACGGACTCCTCTCTCTGTAAGCGATGGCATGCCAGCAACAGCAGGGGCGGATAGCACCAGCAGGCAGTAGCAGCAGCCGCTGAGTTTTATCTGGTTACCTGTAGCATGTTGAGAAGCAGGCTCCGGAACTTGGTGCCTTCCACCATGAACAGCGCCATCTTGTCACAGAGCTTGGCGGCCGTGGAGGCAAAGCTGCGGTCCGTCACGGCCTTCTGGTAAATGGTTTTGACAATCTCCCCAAGCATTTCCTCGGAGTTGGTGGAGTTCTGGGCCTCCTCCATGAAGTTGGTGAGCTTGGAGTCCACCCCGCTACTGTTGTTCCGCATGCTGTTAAGAATTTCAATTAGTTTGTCCATTTTGTTCTTTTGTGGGTTGGTAGACTCCACGGCCACTTCGTCCTGGTCCGTGAAAAGGGAAAGACAAGGCATCTGTTATGCAAGGAAAATGTGGAAGGGGGGAAAGAAAAGGAAAGAAAAGAAAAGGACACAGATCAGCACCTTAACCGCAGCACGCACGTTAGGAAGCGTCGAAAGCAGAGCTAAGCTAGAAGCATACAGATCAAGTCAAGCTGGGAAAATCGGCAGACTGAGCGCCTAAGTTTGGATGGCAATGTGGGCAATGTGCAGCCTGGCGTATCTCTTTGGACTACGACTCCCCAAAAGGACCAGCTAACATAGCCAAGGCGGTTGAATGAATTGAGTGGCAGTTGAATGACATCTAAGATTCACCAACATGTTCTCCACCCTTGCTTGAATGGTTGCTGGAGTAGAGAACGTCTGTCTCGTTAGTCCCCCGTAGCCTAGAGCTCAAAAACAGTCATTTTTATTTATTTATTGGATTTCTATCCCGACCATTTAGACCAAAGGCCTACTCATACTTTTACACTGTCCCTCCCAATATATTCCAACCAGTTCTACAGGGCGAAGACGCTAAAAGCTTCTAAATCCTGAATCTAGGGACCTGGTTAACACATTTCAGATCTCTTTAACTGCTCCAACGCCTTAGCCAAGGAACCTTGCTTCATCCAAACAAACAAACAAAAAAATTTAAGTGAGGTTTCCAAGCTTGGGGAAAAGCCCAGTGGTGGTGGTGAAAAACCATCTCCTAGGAGGACTGACAATGGAATGCTGAGAGCTGAGTAAAAGGGAAGGGAGAAAACGAGAGTTCAGGCATGTGCATATGTGTGCACGCGTGCACATGCATGGGGAATAAAATCGATTAGGTAGAGCAGGGCACCACTGTCTAGTGAAAATGGTGCACGGGGCTGTACCGTTTTGCAATGTTATATCAGGGGTTTTACTTTTTTACCACAGAATCTCTGTATCTGTAATTACTCTGGGGAGATCTCAACGGTGTATAAAGAATTACAGCTGTTCTCGCCTCCCTTTAATGCCTGCACTCAGACTTGCTTAGCATCAGAGAGGGCACTACATCAGCTGCCTTAATGCCATTTTCTAGGAACTAACCTTTAGAACCACAGACGTCTTCCAAATCAACACCTAGAGAAGCCTCACAGTCCCATAACCTTAATCACTTTCTGTGCTTTTTAAGAGCTACAAGGGAGACAGAATTCAACTGATCTGATAAGCACGCTTACAGCTGTGGGAAGCCACACCTGTTGAACTTCTGACTGTCATGTGTTCTATGTATCCTATGTGCTGGGAAGCAAAATAAGGGAAGACACTTGTCTGCAGCAAATGGCCACAGCACATTGGAATCCTCTCCTTTGATGATGCAGCACCACTTCTGAACCCCAGTAACAAGGCTGCACCCCCCCAAATCTACTCACCTTACTGCTAAGAATGTTGATGTAAAGCAGCACAAGACATTTATTTGGCTCTTTTCCTATAGTTGGGTTACTAAGGGATGTGAGCAGACTCTTAGGGTACTGTTTTTAAACATATATTATCCCTGGTTATATGGACATGGATGAGATATACTGTGTTTGGATCAAAAGCAGCAGCTGCAGTGTTAAGTCTTTATAGGCAAAAGCAACAAACAGCATATAGCAACACCTAGGTGTTGAACACAGCATTAAAAAAGACTGCATTGGCCCTGCTAAAGCAGAATGTACAGTAGGACTCCCATATCTGTGGGAGACTGGTTCCAAGCCCCCCTCCAGCAGATCCTGAAAAATGCAAATGATAGCAAACACAGTTTTAATAGTGAGTGAATATTATACATAGCATTGTCTCTGGCTCCCTCTAATGGCCAGTTCAGGTAATGTCATTGTGGAAATACATTTCTCTAGAACACTATTCGTATACAGTATGGTCTCTGGCTCCCTCTAGTGGCCAGTTCTGGTAACTTTGGCTTTAGAAATACAGTGGTGCCTCGACTTACGAACGCCCCTACTTATGACCACTTTGAGTTACGACCAGCTCCGGCTGCAAAATTTTGCTTCGACTTGCAGCCGGAGCTTCGACTCCAAGGCTGCAAAATTTTGCTTCGAATTGCAGCCAGAGTTTCGATTTCCGAACAGAGAAAGGCAGGGGGAAAAGGTGGGAAATTCAACTGTTGGTGGTGAAGAGGCTGCTTCTTTGAAGCTCTTTCTCCCCAACGGTTAGGGAAAGGGATGCGGCAGCAGTGGTGGCTCAGCGCCGAGAGGCTCAGCATGGCCAGAGTGCTCCCTCTGGCCGCTCAACTCCTGCTGGTGGCATTGGCCTGCCGAGGGCGGCGAGGAGCGCCGACACAGGCCTCGTTGGAGCCCATCGGGAGGCAAGCGGCCAGAGGGAGCACCCCGACCAGGCTCAGCCTCCCCACGCTGGGCCACTGCTGGTGCCGGTTCTAGGTGATGTCGGGCACCAGCAGCATCGCCGGCATCGCCGTGGGACTGCCTGGTAAGGTAAGGTGCCATTTTAAAAAAACTGTTCTGGATCAGTTTTGCAGGGCTGGGGAGGGGTTATGTTTCTGTGGTGTTTGTTTGTTTGTTTTATTTTTTGCAGTCCCAGTGTGGGACGTGCTTTGTTTATTTTTATTAGGGGTTTTTTGGGGGGCCGGAATGGATTAATCGCGTTCCCATTTCGACTTACGTTCCATCTTCTGGAACGGATTATGGTCATAAGACAATGATAATGCATTCCGTTAAAATCGCTGTTAAGCGAAATCGTCGTCAAGCGAAAGTAAAAACCCCACTGAAATGCATTTAAAACCAGTCAATGCGTTCCAATGGGGGAAATACTTCATCGTCCAGCGAAGATTGCCCATAGAGAACTGCTGATCAGCTGTTCTAATTCCCTGAAATGTGAAGCTTCCGTCCAGAAAACCACCGCTTTGCGAAGGGAGGGAAGCCATTTTACGAAGGGAAGTTATTTTGCGGAGCCGAAAAAATCATCGTTAAGTGAACAAACGGTTCGCGAAGCAGGCTCCTAATCGATGTCAAGTGAAAAAACCCCATTGGAACTATCGTTTCGCGATTGCAGTAGCGATTGCAAAAAATGCATCATAAAACTATTTTGACGTCATGCGGGGTAAGTGTAAAGTGGGGCACCACTGTATATATTTCTAGCCTATTTTTAAAAATATTTTCAGGCCCTCAATTAGTGAATCAGTGGATACGGATCCCACGGATAAGTGGAGTCCTACTGTACACCACAAAAAGCAACATCTAGTGGCAGATGTTCTTCTAAGAAAAGAAAAAAGTCAAAGGACAACAAATTACACCAACGTATGGCAATCATTTGTAGTAATAGCAATAATGTTTCCATAATTTACTAAATCTATTCAGAGTGGGATAATGCTTACTTTCCTTCATGGGACTAAACTACAAACATAACAGACATAAAATAAGTCACCCACAGTGTAAAGATGGAAAAAGTCAAATACGTAAGCAGCAACGGATTCACAGCTAAAAAGAGAAATTCCTACTTTTGTGGATTTAAATGCAAACCATATACACACTTCTGTGGAATATAGAGCAAGAAGGAAAAGCCTATATATGCAATTGACACATAAATGAATGTCAGTACTTTAAACACTGAATGTGTCTTGAATCAGACCTCGCACATTCTGGCTTGGAAGGTGACACACTTTTCGAGACGGGATTTTCGGATTTCTTGGTCGACACATCCTGTAATTCTCCATCCTGGGAGTTCTCTCTGACGTACACGCACCTTAAAAAGGTAAAGGTTCCCCTTGACATTTTCAGTCCAGTCGTGTCTGACTTTAGGGGGCGGCGCTCATCCTGCTTTTCAAGCCATAGAACCAGCGCCTGTCCAAAGACAGTTTTCCATTGTCACGTGGCCAGCGTGACTAGGGAATGCCGTTTTACCTTCCCACCGAGATGGTACCTATTTATCTACTCGCATTTACATGCTTTCAAACTGCTAGGTTGGCGAGGAGCTGGGACAAAGCGACGGGAGCTCACTCCGTTGCGTGGATTCGATCTTAAGACTGCTGGTTTTGTGACCCAGCAGCACAGGCTTCTGCGGTTTAGCCCACAGCGCCACCACGTCCCTTAGAGATACCTAAATGAGGCTCACCTGCAAGGAAAGGTCTAAACTGGAAGGCTTTCAGAATTAGCTAAGGCTAACTACAGTGGTGCCTTGCTTAGCGATGTTAATCGGTGTAGCAAAAATCGCTGCTAAGCGATTTCATCGCTAAGCGATTTTTAAAAGCCCATAGAAACACATTAAAACACATTTAATACGTTCCTATGGGCTTAAAAACTAACCTTATGCGAAAATCCTCCATTGCGGCAGCCATTTTCGCTGCCTCTAAAGCGAGGCAAAACAGCGGGCAGCCATTTTGGAACTGCCGATCAGCTGGCCGAAAATGGGGGCTTTGTGATGATCGCTTCCCTGCGATCATCGCAAAGTGAAATTTCCCCATAGGGGCCATCGCAAAGCGAGCACTCTTGCGATGGCAAAAAGTCCATCGCAAAGGAATTTCATCGCTATACAGAGCGATCGCTATGCAAGGCACCACTGTACTCCCAAAACTTCCTTTCCTCAGAAAGAAAGATGCCCCTTAGAAACAGGCCCAGCTAACCCTTCAAGCTTTCCAGTTTAGGCTTTTTAGCCCAGGTGAGCCACATTTAGGGGTCTGTAAGATATGTGCCAATCAGGTACAACTCCCAGAATAAGGAATGATCGGGTTTACTATCCAAGAAATATGAAAACCTGAACTCTCTCCCTCTGGAAGTGCATCAGATCCTGTCCCTCCTAGGCTTCAGGAAAAAAGTAAAGACCTGGGTCTTTATTCAGGCTTTTCATATTCTTTCCCATTTAATTTTTTTTTTGGGGGGGGTTCTCTAATTCTGAATGACCCACAATTTCACAGGTTATCTGGTTCACCACCATCTTGTAAACTTAGTATAGACTTTACTACATATTTAAGCTGGGTATTTCTTTCTTTAATCATTTATTTATTGTTACTGTTGAATTTTAGTTTGCTCATGTTCTCAGTGGTAGTAGCCTGGCCACTGGACGGGCAGGATAAAAATAATAATAATTTTAAAAAATGAAATGAAAAACCCCTCCCTAATGTCTTTGATGCAGTTCGCTTCCAATGCAATTTAAGTGTAGCTTTGGCTGAAAGGGTTGCCGTTACATTGGGCGACCCTTTGTTCACCAGCTTCTTCAGGGCTGCTCCAGAATGGACTATCTAGCCATGGTTGCAAAATAGAACAGGGAGGTCTTCTCGCCCTATCTGTATTTTCAAATGAGAGTCCTGTTGACAGCCAGAGAGAAAGGGAACTTCACCCTCTCTTTCTATCCGCCAGCTCACCCCTTCCTGAAGAGCTGCAGAATATTTCGGGTTACTCAAGAGGGAAGGGGGGGGGATAGGAAACGGAGTCACCTTCTCTTTTAGTCTCCTGCGTAGTCTATCTTTGGAAGACTGAAGCAAGTTAATTTTGGGCCTCTCGCTGATGCGTTCGTGAATGCTGTCTTTCCGTTTGCTTTCTGGCTCCTGAATATACTGGGGGGACTGCCTGTCGGTGCTTTCGCTGCTGCGGTGCATGTCAAGAGGGATATGCACGGTACACACGGAGGTGTCCTCGATTTTCAAGTTCTCAGTCTCTTTGGCATTTCTGTGCATCTCTTTGTCGTTGGGCGAGTGTTTCTGGTTATGGTGCCACCGTCGGTTCTGGCTGTACCCATGGTGGCCCGGCCGCCCGGAGGCGTGTGGCGCTTGGCCCCCCTGGGACGGTTTCTGGTGTTCCCTGTTGTGTTTGGCAGTCCCTTGCTGATGCTCTGTGTGTTGCTGAGACTTATTCCCCCCGGGAGCCTTTTGTCTCCTGCAAAAACAAGAAGAAGAGATGAGATTTTATATTTAACTAACACTTTATACACGCGACAGCCGGGCTTTGGAAAGCAACTTTTTTCTGCACGACAGCTTGCAGAATCACAAAGACAGAACAGGTCCTCGCAAGGCTGGCTGAGAGGCCTGGTGGAGGCGTGGATGGCGGGCATTCTCTTCCTCAGTACTGCCCAAGATGCTTCACCATGCTTTATGACAGCTCAAGAAGGGCTAGCCCTGTCTTCTAAGTGGCAACGGCCATAAAAATCTAATTAAATGTCAGGAGGTTGGCCTTGATGGCCTTGTAGGCCCCTTCCAATTCTACGATTCTATCATTTTTCCGCCAGTGGTGAATGAGCAGATTGCACAGACTCGTTTCCTTTAAAAAAACCAACAGTGAATAATTATGTTACACCTGAAAGACTGGCATAAGCTTGAGTGGACTGTAGCTCTCTTCGTGAAAAGCATCTAAAGATCTGGCTTCAGCAGTCCATGAAAACTGAAGCCAAATAAAATGTCACAGTCTTCAAGTTGCCACAAGACACATTTTTATTATTGCTGCGACAGATTGATATGGCTTATCTCTAGAAATTTCATTTTCCATGAAAACTGAAGCCAAATAAAATGTCGCAGTCTTCAAGTTGCCACAAGACACGTTTTTATTATTGCTGCAACAGATTGATATGGCTTATCTCTACAAATTTCATTTAAAAATTATTATTATTTTTTTTGCCATGACTTGTCACACTGTCGTTCTCTATGCGAACAGGAAAGGAGGAAACACACATTCTGCGTAATGCTGGAGGGTTTCTTTGGAAACCGGCAGTCAGTACTTTGGCCTCTTTCGTCATTCTAACTCTTCAGGGGTGACAGTTGGCACAAGGATTTTGGAAGTCAGCATTTCCCAGGGCCTGAGCAGGTTATCAAGAACTAGGAATTTCTGAAAGGAAGTACAGCGTCAACAGGAAGCAAAACAGCCAGTAAAACTCGAGCCAGTAAAGCTAGGCTTTCAGAACCAGGTATAAAAACCACAGGAATAAAATATACATATTTACTAGCAAAGTATCTATCAGTATGTCAGGTTCCTGTTTTCCTCTCTCCACGGAATAGGGATACTAAGAAATCTAAATTTCTTGCTCTTTCTGAGAAAGCAGAGAATTTGTTAACTTCCTGTGAAATTTCACACCTTTATGACAAGAACGAAGAGTGCTTTTTTTTGTTATGGTGCTGGGTGGTGTTTTTGTGGGGTTTTTTTTTTGCACTTTATGTTTTTGCATAAAATGGGTCTTTTCCTTTGTGAAGCAAAATACAAGCACGCCAGTGTGTGCACATCCACTTGCACGGCAAACACAGAAGGACTGATTAAAGGATGTAAAGGACAGAAACAACCCTTCCAATGCTTCTACTTTTAAAAGGTCTGATTCTTTCCAGCAGTTTGGTCAAGGACCAAAACGATTCCCCTCCTTCTCAAATTCCCATTGGCTTCTCCCTGGTCACTGTTGCAACGGAAGGTTGAACTTTTGGTTAGGATCAGCTGGACTCTTCATATGTTGTCCGAACATTTGATGTTTCTCCTTAATTCCCTTCCCCAAAGGAGAACACCTCCAGAGGTCTGAGGGCCATACATGCCGTTACTCAGACATTATCTTGAAGACATCTAGATGTCAGGAACAGGGAGCTCGAAAGTGGAGGTATCTGGCACATTTAAAGAGTGGTTTTGCCAGATCCACACCCCCAATGAGTTTCCATGGCAGAGTGAGGATTTGAACACAGGCCTCCTGAGTTCTAGACCATCACTCTATCCATTACACCACAGTGGGTATCCACATAATGTATAGATCCCTGGAAATTATGAGCCTGGGATATTTCTTACACAGAGAATTAGTGCCTAGGACTATAAGGTAAAGGTAAAGGTTCCCCTTGACATTTAGTCCAGTCGTGTCCGACTCTAGGCGGTGGTGCTCATTTCCATTTCCAACCCATAGAGCCAGCGTTTGTCCGTAGACAATCCTCCGTGGTCACGTGGCTAGTGTGACTAGACACGGAATGCTGTTACCTTCCCACCAAGACACTACCCATTTATCTACTCGCATTTCCATGCTTTTGAGCTGCTATGCTGGCAGGAGCTGGGACAAGTGACGGGAGCTCACTCCGTCGCGTGGATTCGATCTTACGACTGCAGGTCTTCTGACCTTGCAGCACAGAGGCTTCAGCGGTTTAACCCGCAGCACCACCACGTCCTGCCTAGGGACTATATCAGCTTCTAAAACAACAGAGAAATATCTCCGCTTGTTTTAGCCTAATCATTTTAATCACCAATGAAGAACCATCTTGTGATTGGCAATTGGGGAAGATGAAACTAGGACCAGATGAAACTAGCCCGGGCTTAAGGTTGCTGCAGGTGCAGAGGGTCTTTCTCGGCCAGGGTGGCGCGGCGGTGCGTCAGTCTCCCTGCTGAGGCTGTCAGTCTCCCTGCCGAGGCTGGAGCTGCGAGGGGTGGAGAGAGAGAAAGACGAAGCACAGCTGATCGGCGGGGCTTTCGGATGATCGCGGGGAAGCGCTTCCCTGTGATCATCCCAAAAATGGGGGCTTTGCGATGATCGCTTCCCCGCGATCATTGCAAAGCGAATTTTCCCCATAGGGTCCATCGCAAAGCGATCGCTCTTGCGATGGCAAAAAGTCCATCGCAAAGTGATTTCGTCGTAAAACAGAGCGATCGCTATGCGAGGCACCACTGTACCTGATCCTTTTCCCTTTCTAAGAGAGGAGGTCCTTCACACTCCCTGACCCAGCCTTCTCTCAATTCATCTTCCTACTTAGTCCCCATCTAAGATCCAGGAGGAATTTCTTCTGGATTTAAATATCTGCATCTACAGGAATGCATTTTTCACATCCCTGAATTGGATTAGATAGATTTAATATTTAAAGCTTTGCTGTCCTGTAGTTGAGAACTTTTAGGTCTCCTTGTGCAAGTCAAGGCTGGTAGGAGGTTAGGTAGTGCTCAATAACATTCCATGCATCTGGCCATTGTATAAGTCTTCCTTTTGCATGCCACAGGGGTGTCATTTAAAGAGTTAACTTAGTTTGTCCAGGTTATTATCTATTTAGTGAGAACAGAATCACAGTCTGCTTTGCGTGGGAAAATTTCTGTACGTAACAACTGTTTGATTTTCATGAATGTTATCATTTTTTTTCATGGAATGTTGCCGTTCTGACTTCTACTTGAATATGTTCCATCCTCTTTAAACTAATAAAAGGCATTCGCAATTTTTTCTGTTCTTTGTATAAAACTTAAATAAAGCCTTGAGAAAAGAAAGAGAGATATGATAGCATTTTTCAAATACTTGAAAGGCCGTCTTACAGAAGAGGGGCAGGATCTGTTCTGTCAATCTCGGAGTGCAGGGCACGTAATAATGGGCTCAAGCTACACGAAGAATTTAGGTTGAATATCAGGAAAAACGTCTTAACTGTTAGAGCAATATGACAATGGAACCCATGACTTTGGGAGGTGGTGAGCGCTCCAACGCTGGAGGCATTCAAGAGAAAAATTGGACCACCCTCTGTCAGATCTGCTTTGGTTTGGATCCCTGCATTGAGCAGAGGGCTGGAGTCGATGGCCTTATAGGCTCCTTCCAGCTCAATCATTCTCTGAGTCTATGGAATCTTCCAATTAATTGTACTTGTAAGTGATCTTGTGTCATTTCTAATTATAGCATCCTACCTGCTGGGGTAATTTCTACATACTTCCCTCAGACTTCAATAGAAGGCTATGCCTGCCTGTGTTCCTTGGCATCTCTATGCTATCCCTTTAACTTAGGGGCCAATTTTTCTTATGTTATTAGGGAACCAAGCCACAGCAAAGTCATGTCTGCAGCCTCATTTGTTTTAGGGCTTCTTCTTTTCCTGAACAGGAGGGGGGAAACGTAGATTGAAAGAGTAACAGCTTGGGAGATGCAGGGAGCAAAGGGCGGATGCAGAGGGAGATACTTTTTGTTTATAGCAAACAGTGATTTTTTAAAAAAAATCTTTATCTCATTACTTTCCAGCATCGTTTGGAGAAGGTATTGAAAAAAGTTTAAAAAATTGAGGCCGTGGGCTTACTTTTTAAGATAGACCCTACCCATCCAAAGTCGACAAAAAGCAATATGTGACATAAGCAACGTAACAAGGCACTGTTTTTGCAGCTTTAATGACAACTCATTACGTTGGCACTTTCTTTACGACCTGGGCTAGATAAGACAATCCTTTTTTTAAAAAAGTAAATTGCCAAGCTCTGTTCTCCTCCTTTCTCCCTCTCTCCTTCCTCTTTTCCCTTGGTTTTGCCTATTTTCGGACTTGGAGAAGAACTCCTTCTCATTCCCCTTCCAGCTGACATAAATATATAATCTATATACTGTAAGTAAATAAATCATCCAAGTCATCAGAGAACAAAGCAATATATAAACCACTATACAACAGAGTGTAAGCATTAGTTCAATGGACTATTGATAGCTGTAGGAAGAAGTAACTGGCTTTCCGTAATTTTTGCGGAAATGATCCACACCACTAATCTCAAAATCAACCCCCTGCAAGAAATAAACGTATATGTTGTTTTATTTAATTTGGTACAGAGATTTATTTTACTTTACAGAGAACAAATTTATGCTGACCTGCTTAAAATGTGCTTTAGTGGAGGAAGTGGCCACTACCCTTCACTGGTCAGTGGCTAAAACCGTCCCCCTGGGGTGGTTTGCCAAACCCATCTTGTCCATCAACCCTGTATTTTTTGGCACTCAGAGGAGGTCAAACCTCCTTTCTGTGGCCAACTGGCTCTTAACTGTTAAGACTGAGCCCTTGTGTTCGGCTAAACAGAGGAAGACTCAACCTGTTCTCTGTGGTAATGGAAGGAATTTGGGCTTAGGTTTAAAAATGGTCCACTGAGTTTAGGAGACAGTGCACTATCTTGCAGTAAATAGGCTGGAAAAACAGGCGAAAGAGCATTCCTCTCTCTGACAGTGT